GTCGGTGGACCCACCATGGCCGTGATAGCACTCAAGTGCCCTGATATTGAAGTAGTCGTGGTCGACATCTCCGAGCCAAGGATCACTGCCTGGAACAGTGATCACCTCCCAATCTATGAGCCCGGACTCGACGATGTGGTGAAACAATGCAGAGGCAAAAACCTTTTCTTTAGCACAGACGTGGAGAAGCAGGTCTCCGAGGCTGATATTGTCTTTGTCTCTGTCAACACTCCGACCAAAACACAAGGTCTTGGAGCCGGCAAAGCTGCTGATCTCACTTACTGGGAGAGTGCTGCCCGTATGATCGCCGATGTCTCTAAATCCAGCAAAATCGTCGTCGAGAAATCTACTGTCCCCGTGAAAACAGCCGAGGCAATCGAGAAGATCTTGACCCACAACAGCAAAGGCATAAACTTTCAGATTCTCTCAAACCCGGAATTCCTCGCCGAGGGAACTGCTATCCAGGATCTCTTTAACCCAGACCGTGTTCTGATCGGTGGAAGGGATACCCCGGATGGGCAAAAGGCCATTGAGACACTGAAACAGGTTTATGCCCATTGGGTTCCTGTGGAACGGATCATTTGCACCAACCTCTGGTCAGCCGAGCTCTCCAAGCTTGCAGCGAATGCGTTCTTGGCTCAGAGGATATCTTCTGTCAATGCCATGTCAGCTCTGTGCGAGGCAACGGGTGCTGATGTTACACAGGTTTCGCATGCCGTGGGTAAGGACACGAGGATTGGACCCAAGTTCTTGAACGCCAGTGTCGGTTTTGGTGGATCCTGTTTCCAAAAGGACATCCTGAATCTTGTATATATCTGCGAGTGTAACGGCTTGCCTGAGGTGGCTAACTACTGGAAACAAGTCATTCAGGTGAACGATTATCAGAAAACTCGGTTCGCAAACCGGGTTGTTTCCTCGATGTTCAACACAGTCTCCGGCAAGAAGATTGCTGTCCTCGGGTTCGCCTTCAAGAAAGACACTGGCGACACCAGAGAGGCACCGGCCATCGATGTCTGCAACAGTTTAGTGAATGATAAGGCCAAGCTGAGCATTTACGATCCTCAGGTAGCGGAAGAACAGATCAAGAGAGATCTTTCCATGGCTAACCGAGCTGCAATCACCGAGCAAGTGAGTGTGGTCTCGGATGTTTATGAGGCGACCAAAGATGCACACGGGATCTGTATCTTGACGGAGTGGGATGAATTCAAATCTCTGGACTTCCAGAAGATCTTTGACAATATGCAGAAACCAGCGTTCGTGTTTGATGGCAGGAACGTTGTGGATATGCAGAAGCTGAGGGAGATAGGGTTCATAGTTTACTCCATAGGCAAGCCCTTGGATTCATGGCTCAAGGACATGCCTGCTGTTGCATAAAAGGCTATAGAGGATGTGTCCGAATACAAAGACAACTTCAACATGGAGATATTTTTTGTTTTGTTTTTTATGTTTTTCCTTTCGAAGAGTGAATCTGATTTTGTTGCATTGTTTTTTCTTTTCTGTAATAAACACATTTATTTAGAAATTTTAAAAAATGAAGGTATTATTTATAACAAAACTAGTTTGATATTCACGTGTAGTCATTTTTTAAAATTATATTACCCGAATTTAGATTAGGATCCGTAGGTATTAACAAATTCGTATTTAGATTTAGATTTAGATTTGAATGAATAAGAGTACTCTAAAATTGGATATATTTTTGTCCAATCCTAAACTTTATATATATGAACAAACAACTTTTGCTATTGTTGGATTCTCTCTAACAATATATGATTATATATTCGGAATATCAATAGTAAAACCAATGGTTTCGGCCAAGACCAATGACATAAGCTTCATAGTGTTTAGGGGTGTAAAATAGGCAGGTCGGGTTCAGATCGGGTTTAGTTCGGATCTAGATTTTTTTGGGTTGGGCCGACTTGTCCGCCCATTTATTGTTTGGATCTATGATTGGTTGGTGGTCCGGAGTTTGGTTCTATAGGATTTAGGACGGGTTCGGGTCGGATTTCGGATTTTTTTATTTAATAAAAAAATATATTAGTGTATAATAATAATAATAATAATAATAATAATGAATTATTTAGCAATGTTTTTAAAAAAAATCAACAATAACAAATTTTAGTCCGTATCAATTACAATTAAAAATTTTTAAATCTA